TCAGTCTTTCAAACACACACTGTTCGAGGCCTGGGGGTGGCCAGAGGGGGACAAGTAAGGAACAAGCACGTATAAATGAGTCAGACACACTTGCTTTGTTCATCAGGTTCAGAAAATACCTGCTGAAGAAATGATGGAAGAAGGAATGATAATGAGATGCTGCCCCTGCCCTAAGGGGGTCTAAGACTTACCCCTGGACTCTTTCTGCTTCAGGCTTTTCCCCAGGAAGTCAAAGGTGCCCTCATGCTGGTGATGTCCTCCCACCACCTTCCAGATGGGAAACCAACCCCCTGGCATGGTGGTAATGAGGGCAAAGGCTCCTCCTCACTGCATACCTGTGACTCTCCTACATCTCTCTCCTAACCAAGGGAATGCTATGAATGGCTTCACCCCACTAGAGCCTCAAAGTTGGGGATGAAGCCCAGCAGTGGGCCTGGAAGCCCCCGGAGTTGGCCATAAGCTGTTCAGGGGGCTGTAGTGAGGGCAGGCTGCAGGTCTACCCACACCCCTGGACCCCGACTACGGCCCTCTGCCATGGAGAAGGCCACTGGTCTCCCCTGCTTCCAGGCTGGCTCAAGGTCAGCCACAGTGGCCAAGCTCTTGAGTGCTGGGTCATTGTAATCCTCACCATTTCTGCTCATTGCAAGGATTGGGGAGCCCTTACCACAGACAGGCTTAGCGGTGAGCCTGGGCGTACAGGAAGAGCTCGGCGTGAGGGCAGAGTGAGCGGATAACAAGAATGGGAAAGTGGGTAGTTACAGAGGCTGAGTAAGGCTGTAAGTCAAGGGTGGTAACTGGGCCAGCGAGCGCTCATTTGCAGCCTGGCCCCATCATGTGTTAGCCTGTGACTTTGAGGAAGCAGCTCAACCTCTGAGCCCGTTTCCTCACTGGATAATCAAATCAACCTGGTGAGATGATGCTACAAATGAGCGCGACCTAATGCAGAGGTCTAGCCCACAGCCAGTCACTGGTGTATTACTATGTCTAAACTCACCACCACGGGAACACGGGGGGAGATGTGGGATGGGGGCGGGAGGCAGCATTCAAGGAGGAACTAAAGACAAGCAGCAGCGAGGCTGGACTCCGTTCCCCAGGAGAGGCGCCAGGCAGGGCAGTAGAGGGGACTGGGTGGACACAGGCACAAAGGCATCCAGCGCTGGGGAGCAGAGGAGTGGTAGAGGTGCAGGAAGGGTGGGCTGGAGCTGGCCTAGGTCCTGCAGGTATGTGCACTTCAGGGAGGAGTTTCTGGGCAAATGGGAAATGATGCTTCCTGACCAAGACACTAAGCAACATTGAATCATTTTCTGAGAAAGTTATTCCCTTTCCAACTTCCTTTCCAGTTTCTGACTCCCTCAAGGGGAAAGTCTCGACATTTAATGCCTAATGCCTGCCACCCTCATAGGCCTCATGGTGACTATTTCTGGCAGTCAACTGTAACCACCAAGAATCCTGTAACATTGCTTTTGTGATTATCTTTTATTCAGAACAAGTGGCTTTCTGCCTACAGGGGTGAAATAAATTTCTCTTGTAAAATGCATTTAAAAGTGAGCTACTGGGCCTCCCCAGTGGTGCAGCGGTTGAGCGCTGGGTTGCGAAGCTGCCTGCAGCCTCTGCAGTGCCGGTTCGATCCCCGGCTGCTCCCCGGCCACCGGAGGAGGGTCCCGCATGGCGTGCAGACCTCTCCTGCCGCCCGCTGCTCCCCTCAGCAGTGTACTTCGGTCCTTCTGCCTGCTCTGCTCCCCGCTCTGGCTCTGGTGAATTCTCTCACCCTCCCACGCTTCTGACTGTACCCAGTGCTTGTATAAATAAATAAATAAATCTAAAAAAAAAAAAAAAAGTGAGCTACTTAGGGCCTCCCTGGTGGCGCAAGGGGTTACATCTCAGCACTATGAAGCTGTCACCAGCCACTGCAAAACTAGTCGATCCCGGCCAGGGCTTTCCAGAGCCTACCCACATAGCGTAGCAGACCTCTTCTGTCTCACCCGCTTGCTCCCCTCAGCAGTGTATTTAAGTCAGTCTGCCTGTTCTGTTTCCCATTCTTGCTGGTGAATCCTCTCACACCCCGCACTTCTGGCCTGTACCCCAGTTCTTGTATGCATAAATAAACCTTTAAATAAAAAAGAAAGTATGTCTCACCCAGATTGGAAGCCTCCTGACTTCATCCTAAAATCCAACTCCAGTTCGTTTGAGAATTCAAAGGTCCCAAAGATGCCACAACGCAGGCTTGGCAACATTTCTCACGTGGAAGTCTCTGACCTGACATTCAGGGCCTTATAAGACAGACTCTACCCCACCATAATTTTCCAAATTCTCTGAAGCACTTGTGTTCCACAAAACTTGGCCTGCACGGGGTCCCATGCTTGGCCCCCACCCGCACCCCATTCTGTCCTCTCCTCTGTTCACCTGCCCAGAGGTCTTCCTTCACACACCTTCCTGCGCCTGAACTCTACCCAAACTTTACAGTTTGCCTCAAGGCACCTCTTCAGGAAGCCTCTCGATAGCCTCCAGGCAGAACATATTCCTGGTTTCTCTGATCCTCTTCCAAAGCCTGGTCTCACACCTGTGGCAACTGGTCAGACCTTCCACTTTGGACTGAGCAAGCCTGGAAACCACCAGAAGACATGGTTTACATCAGATTCATTTCTGGCCCCTTTCCTCTTCCTGCCGCAGTCAGGAGTCTACAGACGGAATTATCACACAAGAGGAAAAAACCCATAATGCCAACTGAGAGAAGCTCTGAGTCTCTCTCCAGCAGTCACCCAGGAAAGCCAGGAGGACTCCACAGAGGTGCGTCCATTTGGCCAATGTCCTGAGTCTTCCATGTGGAGGACAAGGTGTATAAACACTCACAATCCAGGAAAGGCTGTGGGACCTGCCTGGCAAATATGTAACGCCCACCAAGCCGCACTGGGCCAAGAGGAAGGGCAAGGCGCTCTGGGCGCATGCCATGGGAGGTCTGGTCCAACTGGGGTCACCAGGGCTTTCCAGCGCCTAGGACACTTGAGGTGAGACAAGGATGAAGACAGTGCCGCCACACGAGGCTGGGCATGTGTCCGTGCCACCTCCTCAGAGGAGAGAGCGGGGGCTTGGGAGGCAAGGCGCACATTCCATTGTTACTCCCTGCCTCAGTTTCCACGTCGGCACAACAGACTATTGTGAGGATTTGGTGGGGAACGGGTGGAAGGTACTCAGCACACAGTCAAGTGCTCCCCAGACCTGGGAGATTACAGCTTCGGGAGGCAGAGGATTGCAGGTAGCCAGATAGTAATCCTGCCGCACAATTATCTCTCACGGGAGCCTACTGCTGCATCTCCCCCGAGGTCGGAAGGAAGGGTCAGACTGAGGGGCTGTGACGGAGCAGAATCCAGGAGGCCAAGTGGCCCAGTGGTGTGAGGAGGAAGGAAACTGATTGTAGGCGAGAAAGACAGCACCAAGGGTGTGGCCGAGAGTCGGCGGGGACAGAGAAAGGGGACAGAGGACAGACAGAGAATGAGGACCTCGTCTCCCCGCCTGCCTGCTTCTGGAGCTGCTCCAGGGCACTCGTGGCATACCTTCCAGCGGGCATGCAGCAGGGCTTGACATTTATAGGCCACAGGTCTCTTCCGTGCCAGCTGGGTATTTAAAAGTCTGTCTGAAAGCCACCCTATTAAGGGAACGAGCCAACCACGAACAGGAAACCCCTGAGGTGTGCAAATACCCACGTCACTTCTCAGAAGGAAGGAGTTGGGGTGGAGCAAGCTGAGATTAAGGCCTGACCTTAGTGCCCAGCCATCAAGGGGAACCCACACAGCAGTCTGAGAGGAAGCATAAGTTCTTTCTGACCACCCTGACCTTCCTGCTGTTACTGTTTCCAGATCACAAAATAATGGGCTCCCTTGGACACAAGCGCCCTGGGACACATACTATTCAGGGCTCATCTCAAGTGCCACCTCCTCCTGGAGGCCTCCCTGGACCACCTAAACTAGCTTATCTCCCAGATGCTCACATGGCTCAACCTCTCATCTCTGCAGTTCTTTGCTGACGAGGCCTACCCTAAATACCCTATAAAATTATATCTTTTGGGCCTCCCTGGTGGCGTAGGGGTTAAAGACAGCGCTATCAAGCTACTGCTAGCCACTACAGCACGAGTTCAATCCCCAGCCGGCCAGGGAGCAACCAACAAGGTGCAGCAGACCTCTCCTGTCTTGCCCGCTGCTCCCCTCAGCAGTGTATTTCAGTTGATCTGCCTGTTCTGCTCCCCACTCTGTCTCTGGTGAATCCTCTCACCTCTCTTACCTCTCTGGCTTACACCCCAGTTCTTGTATGCATAAATACATAAATCTTTTTTTAAAAAAAAATCGTATCTCTTCACCCCAGGTCTCATCTTCCCTCGCTGCTCTCCTCTTGCCTGTCTGACATCCTAGTTGTTTGTTTGTTTACTATCTTTTTCCTCCTGCTGGACTGTCAGCTACAAAAGAATAGAATCCAAAGGTCCCAAAGATGCCACTGTCAGATTTACTCATTGCTGAATCACCATCTAGAAAATCAGCATCTAGAAAAGTGCCAGGTGCATAATAGGGGCTCAAGAAATGCTTGATGAGTGAATGAATGTGAATGTTTAGTTTAAGAGCAGGGGCCCTAGTCAGACTGTCTTGGGTCTCACTCCAGCTCTTCCACTGTATGATCTTGGATGACTTTACTTAACTCACTGAGACTCAATTTAATTAAACAGTAAAAGAAAATGGTACCCACCTTCTAAGATTATCAAGGGATTAAGTAAGACCATGTATCTAATAAGGTTATGTGCCTGACCCCCCAGTAAGTTCTCAGTACTATTCTGACTGCCACCACAGCTTCGCTTGTTAGCATTTCCTGCTTGTTTATCATCTGTCTCCTCCACTCCAGTGTCAGCTCCACACACTTAGTTCTTAGCACAGTGTGGGAAGAGAAAATCAGGCCTCCTCTCAAGTCAAGGCATATGGAGCTGTGGGACACAGCTTTGGCTGGAGCAGAAACCTCACCGATCTGTTTCTCCAGGGCGGCTGCCTCACAGACAGTGGCCCGGGGCAGGATTCCAGGGTCGGTGAAACTTGTCTGCAGCAGGCAGCTCATGACGAAGAAGAAGAGGATGGCAGCAATGATGGGGATGGCAAGGGTCAGTTGGCGGGCCAGGAAGGGACAGCTAGAAAGAGAGAGGGAGAGAGAGATGAGCAGACATCCTGAGGGCTCCCTGGGACACAAGCCTACAGTACCAGTCAGGTGTGGTTAGCCTAGCAGCCACCACCACCAGGCCCTAAGCAGACATCACTCGCTGATCCTTGCACTTTGCCCACTTTCAGATGGCAGATCTGATCAATTGATCCCAGCACTCTGACCCCCGACACTGAGTTTACAGCCTCAGAATCCTCCTAAAGACAGAGCTTCAGGCAGCCACTACCAATTAACTGGACTGAACCATTTATGACAACGGTCACTCAATCATTCAGTCAGTCACTGTGCCACAGTTACTGAGGTCTCTGGGTCAGGTAATGCCCTCAATAGGCAGCAGGAGGGCCTCCCTGGTGGCGCAGGCGGTTGAGCGCCGCAATATGAAGGTGTCCGCAGCCTCTACAGCGCAGGTTCAATCCCAGCTGGCCGGCGAGAATCCCACATGGTGAAGCAGACCTCTCCTGTCTCACCCGCTGCTCCCCTCAGCAGTGTATTTCGTGAGTCTGCCTGTTCTGTTCCGTGCTCTGTCTCTGGTGAATCCTCTCACCCTCCCACGCATCTGGCCTGTACCCGGTTCTTGTATAAAAATAAATAAATCTTTTAAAAAAAAAAAGTACCATTAAAAAAAAAAAGGCAACAGGAATAGCAGTAAATAGAACAAGAGCCTTCTGCTCCCTCAATGAGGCTCATGGTCTAGTGGGGCAAAGAGATGTAAACAGAGAATTGCCACATAGCCTTTGAGTGTTCTGGTGGGCGAGGGAAGAGCAGAACAGTCAGGAGAGGCTTGCTGAAGGGCGTAATGAGTACTCGGCCAGATCTGAACAATGCATAAGGCCAGCCAGGTGGAGGGCAGTGGGGCAAAGAGGGTGGTGGTTCAGCCCCTGCCACTGTCACCCAATGGCTGGCCCCCCAAGTCAGCCTATCAGTGCCTGACCCTAGCTGGCTCAGAGACCAGTGCACAGGTCTGACTTTGAGGCCCACCCAGACTATTAACCACCCTCCTATACTGCTTTCCCTCCTAGAACCAGAGTGGCACCTGAGAGGGCCAAGAGCTGCCATTTGGGAGGTGACCAGCCACCAGGAGCTCTGAATTAGGTGAGGTTCCAGGAGGGGCACTTAGAGGCTGTTTCTGGAGCCTCCATCATCAGAGGTTCTGGCCTCCAGACGTGTCCTTCCTTTGAGAAGCAGGTTGCCACGGCCAAGAACTCCAAGTGGGCCATGTTGTGCTCCACACATCTCAGTGCTTCCTGGGTTTGAGCCCCACACAGGCCCTCCACATCACCCACATGGCAACTTAAGTCAGTTCACGTACAACCAGACTTCTTGGGGATGAAGAAAACTTGAAACCTGAGACATCCTCTGAAGTACCAAGTCCTAGCCCCCGGATTTTAGTGAAGGGGACTTCAAGGCCCACAGCCAGATCCCAGGTCACCCCGCCAACCAGACAGGACTGAGGTATGCAGGTTTCCAGCAAACGCTGTCCATTCATTCAACAAATATTTACTGTATTGAGCACCGCTGACATACCAGGCCCTGTTCGAGGTACTGAGGATACAACAGCAAGGAGAATAAAGGCCTCCTTTCTCATGGAGAAAGTAGGCAAGAAGCCTACTTGTACAAAGAGTACAAGTATCGTACTTATGTGAGGTGGTGGCAAGAGTTCAAAGAATGGTAAGTCAGGGGGGGCAGGGTTAAGAGGAAGGAAAGTGGCTAGCTAGTTATAGCACAGGTCAGGGAAGGATGGAGAAAGTGAGGCTATGCAAAGGAAAGGTACAAGCAATACAGGGCCCCGAGGCAGGAGTGTGCAAGGAGGCCAATGCTCCCGGAGGGGAATGCACAGGGGGTTGGTGGAAGGCGACAGAGACAGAGAGGAGGCTCTTTAGCAGGGTCCGGCTCTCATGGGGTTGGATCCAGACCTGACTTAAATTAAAGGGACACTCTGGCTGCTGGGTGGAGGTGGGAAGAGGAGCAGAAGCTAGAAGCCCTACACAAAACCCACCAAATCAAACAATGAAACAAGACCTTTCACAGCAGCACATGCCCTGGAGCGCCACCTCTCCCCTCCCCCAGAGTAACGGGAGATTATGAGCGCCCTTCACCCCCAGCACGCCTCACACCAGTCCAAATCCAGGTGAGCTCTCAACCCAAACCCAAACCCTTCTGCCAACTCCACCACCCCCTGAGGAGGAGCTGAGGCAAAGGCAAGATGATTCACAAGCTCTCCCCAAATCTAGAAATCCTCGCTTCCTCCCCCTCTGGGGACAAATCTGTCACTTAGACCAGAGGCGGTCCTGCTTCTGGACTGACTGACTCTCACATGGCAGGGTCATGGGAGGCCACCACGGGCAGCACTGTTTTCTCTTGCCCGGGCTGCTGGCTTGGCTGCAAGGACCTGCCCGGAGCACCTGGAAAAGGCTCTTTAAAAACACCCACTCGGGCAGGCCCACGGAGGGGGATCTGAAACTCAGCTCATGCTGGGACAAGGGGGCTCCCCAGAACTTCTGCTTATCAAATTATCACATAACTTCTCATCTATCCTGAGAAGCTAGTTTGTAGGAAGTCCTCACCTTGACTCAAGGGGAAACCCAGGGCTGTTGACCCATGATCTGGCAACAGGAAAGGTTACCTGGGGGCTGGGGCTTTTGTGGCAGCCTTAGGGAGACCTTGGGAAGCGTCTCTTGGGGAAGACCACAGGAGCAAGAGCCAGCAATGAGTGCCTGCCACTGGCTCGGAGTGCACAAGTATGAATCCTTGCCACCCTTCTGACAACCTCAGGGCTTGGGCGCTATACAAAACCCATCTCAAAGATGAGGAAGCGGGAGCTCTGAGAGGTGATGTGACTGCCCCACGGGGTGGTGAAGCTGGGACTGGAACCACATCCATAGGTACCAGAAATGGAGTTCTTAACCATGCAGTAAAATTTAGGGAGACAGGATCGCTGGGAGGGCGGCGGGTGCAGTCTGGAGTGGGTGTGGAACATGCACGTGTGAGCGCACATGAGGGATCACTAGCAGGAGACTCAGGCAGGGACCAAGGGTAGAGCAGGAAACTTCCAACACAAATACATGGCCCTGGAAAGGTGACAGGCACCGCACGGCCTCCTGCATCCATATGGAGATGCTATGTGAGCCGCTGCTGGGTCACTGAGGATATGAAGAGGTCAGAAGCCCGCGGGGGCCAGCATGAGCTGTCCCATGAAAGCACTCTGGGCGCTCTTGAGAAATAAGGCACTGCAGCGCTCCAGCCACAGGATGGCCAGAGGGATGCTCGGGGATGCTGAGAAGGGAAAGAGCCGGGAGGGCAGGCAGAGGGAAGCGGGGGCTCGACTGTCTGGGGCAGCGGCGGGGGGCAGGAAGTGTGCTGGAGAGGAAGTCCTACAGTCCACAGTGTTTGAGGGCGATTGCCTAAAGGCCTGCGGTGACAACAACTGAGGGGAAAGTAACGGGGAGTGTCTGAGAGTAGAGAGATGACCAAGGGGACCCTAGAGGAGTAGGGCAGCGGCCAGGAGACCTGCAGTGGGGAGCACAGAGCTAAAGGACATAGACGAAATTCAGGAGTTGTCTGAAAAGGATATGAAGTAGGCTCAAGGGATGAGAAAGAACCTGGGGGCCCGCGGGGTGCACCAGAGATGGCGAGGGGGCGTGAGTGAGGACGAGGAGACCGTTCAAGGCGCCGCGGAATCCTGGGGCAGATTCCGGGAGGGCGGGTCCGGCGGGAGCGGGCGGCGTTCTGGAGAGCGCAGGGGCTGGCGAAGGCGGGGTGCCGGCGAGGACCGGGGAGGGCGCCGGCTAGGAGGCCCGGAGGGGGCCAGGCGCGACGGACACGAGATGCGGGGAGACTGGCGAGGCCGGGGGCATGTCTGGGAGGCCCAGGAGGGCGCAGGTCCAGAAGCGGCGGGGAGCGGAGGGTGCCCGGCAGGTGCGGGGTGGGGTGGGGCGCAGGGGGGCAGGGAGGCGCCGAGCACGGCGCCCTGCAAGGGGCCGCAGGGGTGCAATGCCTGGGCCGGGAGCGAGGGCGCCGGCAGGGGCGGGGGATGGGCCGCGGGGGGCCGGCGCGCCCGGGACTCACTCGAAGACGAAGAAGAGGACGGTGGTGGTGAGGATGAGCAGCAGCGTGAGCGCGAAGACGCCGCCGTGGCCGGCCAGCATGAGGCGGCCGCCGCAGTAGAAGCGGTTGCGGCCCGGGAACACCTCCCACTTGCGCTGCGGCCGGCGGCCGAGGCTCCCGCTGCCGCTGCCGCTCCAGCGCGGCGCCCCGGGGGAGGCGGGCGGCGGGGGCCCGGGGCCCGGGCCGGGGGGCGCGGCGGGCCCGGGCCGGCGCGCCCCGGGGGAGGCGGGCGGCGGGGCGGCCCCGGGGCTGATCTGCTGGTACTCGCAGTCCTTCATGCGGCCGGCCGCGGCCCTGGCTCCGCGCCCCGCGGGCCGCCGCTCCGCTCCGGGACCCGGCCGAGCAGCGGAGGCGGCGGCGCGCTCGGCGCGCGCTCGCTCGCTCGCAGGGGCGGCCCCGCCGCCGCCCCGCCCCGCCGCCGCCCCGCCCCGCCCCCGCCCGCGCGGCCTCCCGCCGCAGCGCCCCCTCCGCCGGGGTCCGGCATGGCGCCCCGCCCCGGCCCCGGCCCCGGCCCCGGCCCGCGCCCTCGGCGCACGGGAGGGCAGCGGCCGAGCGGACGCGCGCGCCGGGCTCGGCTCGTCTGCAAGCAAATCACTGCGGTCGGGCGTCCTCCGTGTGCCGGGCACCGCGCCGAGCGCCGAGATTTGGGTGGTGGACTCGGTGATCTTCTTCTGGCAACTCCAGGCCACTCTCCGCCGTCTCTGAGGACCGATTGGACAGGCATTTCAGGGGCAACGGGGGTGGGGACAGATAAATCTGCCTTGAAAGCCAGGGGCTTCCTAACTACTGTCTTGAAGTTCACAGGGGGGTGTGTGTGTGTGAGAGAGAGAGAGAGAGAGAGAGAGAGAGAGAGAGAAACACAGAGAGAGAGAGACAGAGAGAAATCCTCCGACTTAGATCTGTGATCCAGACCCGGGTTTCCTAGGCATCAACTAAGGTAGGGTTCATGCCTCAAGATTTCAGTGTTTTCCAGGAATTCTGAATAGATTCACTTGTTACTGCCGTGTAACAAATTACCACAAGTTTAACTACTTAGAAACACATCATTTCACGGGAGTCTCCTCATGCCACTGGTGTGGCTGTCTTAGAGCTTCAGAGGCTGCGATCAAGGTGTCAGCAATGCTGCATTCTCTCAGCTCAACTCAACTGGAGAACACACTTGTGAGTCCATTCAGATTGTCATTTCTTTGTGAGGGCTTGAAATTTTCACTGGCTGTTGGCTGGAGGCCTCCTTCAGTTTGCAGAGATCATCTGCAGCTCCTGAGACCATCTGAGCTTCCACATTTCCTTGCCATGGGTCTTCTCCAACATGGCCGCTTATTTCCTCAAGCTCAGGAAGAGAGTCTTTAGTTCCAGTCAGCTAAGACAGTTTTATATAATGTAACTTACAAATGTATGTAAGGGGAGTGACATCCCATCCCTTTGCCATATTCCCTAGGTTAGCAGCAAGTCACAGGTGCCACCTGAACTCAAGAGGAGAGGATCACACAAAGGTGTGACTACCAGGAGGCAGGAACCACTAGGGGTTAGTCACCTTAGTGTCTGTTCACCACACTGAGGACTCTGAAAACCTAAGGAAAGCCTGGAGACTTGAATAGGAGATTCAGAAAGGAAGTCGAAATACATGATGGGGCGAGGTAGAACAGCAACAACAGTGACCTCAAGGATCACTAGCCGATGCACATTCCAAAGGCCACACAACAATGATGCCCTTGGTGCCAAAGATTCTGGGTTTGATGAGCGCCCACCTTGGAGTGAATCACCCGTGGACTTCCTCCTCTCTTGCTCCTGGGCTATGAAACAAAGTCACAAAACTGAGCATACTGGTTGTAATAGATTTCTGTTGTGCTGCCTCAAAAGGGTCCTCTTGCAGTCCTCTTTCTTGTTCCTTGTCACTTCACAGGAACGAAGCTATCCTGCTTGATTTCCAGCTTCCCTCCTCTCTTTTAATTTCTATTTGCATCTCTCTTTATTTCTCATTTTAAAGAGGGCCTTCTGCCCATGGCCAGCCTCTACTCATGTCCTACCTTTCTTCCTGTTCCTCAGTATTGCAAACACATGTTCAATTCTTCTCCACTAATTAAAAAGAAAACTAAGCTAAAAAAAAAACAAACAAACCCCAAAACCCAGCTTTCCATGTCTGGCTGCCTCCTCACTCTAGGCTTAGATTTATCTTTTTTCTTTTTTTCTTTTTTTTTTTTTAAAAAGATTTATTTATTTATTTAGACAAGTACTGGGTATAGTCAGAAGCACGGGAGGGTGAGAGAATTCACCAGAGCCAGAGCGGGGAGCAGAGCAGGCAGAAGGACCAAAGTACACTGCTGAGGGGAGCAGCGGGTATGGCAGGAGAGGTCTGCGCGCCATGTGGGACCCTCCTCCGGTGGCCAGGGAGCAGCCGGGGATCGAACTGGTGCTGCAGAGGCTGGGGGCAGCTCAGAGGCTGGGGGCAGCTTTGCAACCCAGCACTCAACCGCTGCTCCACAGGGGAGGCCCTAGATGTATCTTTTTTCTCTCTCATTTAGAGTCATATTAAAGAGAATTTACTGGGTCTCCCTCGTGGTGCAAGGGGTTAAGACGCAACCTGTGAAGTTATCTGCAGTTACTGCAGCACAAGTTCAATCCCCAGCCAGGGTGCAGCAGACCTCTCCTGTTTAGCCCGCTGCCCCCCTCAGCAGTGTACTTCAGTCAATCTGCCTGTTCTGTTCCCTACTCTGTCTCTGGTGAATCCTCTCCACCCCCACCCCCCACCTCTGGCTTGTACCCCAGTTCTTGTATGCATAAATAAATAAATCTTTAAAAAAAATAAAAGAGTAGTTACCACTTCCTTGTCTCCTATTTGCTTCTTAACTTTTTACAATTTGGCTTCTGTGTACATCACTTGACTAAAACTTTTCTCTAAAACATCATTAGTGACCCATTTAGTATGGCATGAATTATTCATTCTCACTGATACCCAGAGGTCCCAACCTTTCTGACAGATGGGTGTAGCCCTGAGACTGAATTATGGCTAATAGAGTGGGAATGGAAATGGCAGATTGGGCCACAAAACTCCCAGGTACTGCTCCTGCCTCTCCTTCCCATCTGCTAGCAGAATAGAGAACCCGGAGACAGTCAGTTCAGTGTCAGCGTCTTACCCCTACTCAATCACATTAATAATTCAGTAAGACTATATTCAACTGATGTAATTCTAGAACATGCACAATTTTTTTTTTTTATTTGTAGCAATTAAGTCTGATGGTTACAAGTAAGAGAGGCCTTTATGGTGAAGTCCTATGGCTCTCTGGCCACGAATTAAGCTGAGAATTTAAAGAATTCTTTCTGCCAGGCCACTGATGCATTCAGAAGAATTCCTCCCATACCAAGTCCCTGTAATCATCAGCACTACCATAACAGTCACATACAGTAAGCACTTGGGCCCCCAAGGCACTTGCTTTAGTTGGCACTTCATCATAGATAACCACAGGTGGTAATTTGATTAATCATGATGCCACAACAAGCCATGGATTAGTGGCATGTTTCTCAATGGCAAAGAGCTTAGCACATACAAATCCAATGACATAACTCAACCAGTTCCATAATCCCATCTTTGGAGGTCTCTTTCCTGGGACCACTCCTAGCACCCATTTCTGTATTGGTTAGGGTGCAGTCAATGAGAGAAACTATGCCAGTTATCAGACAGAATTTAATATAAAGAATGGTTAGAATGGTGGACTAGGTATAAAGTTGTTAGCCACATCACTAAAAGGGTAAAAAAAAAAACAGACATAATGCAGACAGCATCAGCTAGGGCTAGAACAAAGGGAAGAGTCTGGGATGACTAAAAGCTAGAAACTCCAGGTCTCTAAATCTGGGGTTGGTGTCTGGTATCTCTGAATTTAGAGGAGGATCAACACTTCCGAGGAAGGGGTGCTACCCAGCTGGTGTGGGTGCTTCTGGAACACCTTCGTGGTGGTTCAGCAATTGTTGGAAAAATTGCAAGGTGGGTTCAGCTACTACTACAGGAAGGAACTGCTACTGCTGGGGTGAAGGAGCATTGCTGGGGTGACCTCACAGGAACAGGAAGCAATGAGAAGTCCTTTCTTCCTCCTCTGGCCCCACTATCTCCCTCTAGTGGCCCTTGTTGGCAGAACCAAACAGAGCCCGCTGACAAAGCAGAAATGGGATTTGCCAGCCCCAGCTCCAGTATTTCACAGCAGAAAGTACAAGGGTGGGTCTGGAGCTGAGAGGCATTAACTTGACAACTAGCACAGGTGCCTTTATAAAGTATTAGAGGAAAGAGGTGAACTCAGGTGAAAATTAGATTTCAAAAACAAGAAAGAAAGGGAGACAGAACAAGTTTAGAGATGATGGGCCTGTCAGAGTTGGAAAAGCTGACTGCTTCTGGACAACATAATGTAAAACAAGATTGGAAAAGGTCTTAAACAACCTGAGTTGAAAGATGTGATCACCACTAAGGCAAATATGTTTAGAGTGTGACCTTCCCACTTAACTTCCCTGTTACTTCCCCAGGTGAAACCTCCCCAGTTTCAGCATAGCTATGTTACATTCAGAGTGAGGAAAGAGTTTAGGAGACAGTGGTGATACGGTTGTACAACGATGAAAATATGCTTAATGCCACTGAACTTTACACTCAAAAAGGTCAAAATGGTAAATTTTGGTATGTGTATTTTTACACACACACAAGCCTTTGGCTGTCTGAAATTTAAAATAATTTACCCCTGCCCCCCACCCCCCGCCCACCACCATGCTTAGACCAGTAGGAAGTAAGCTGTGAGAGCTGAACATTCTCCAAAGAGGTCATACTTTCCAGAACCCATCTCAGATGTGACCATGAAGAATAGTCAACCATGGGCCTCCCCGGTGGCGCAGCGGTTGAGCGCTGGGCTGTAAGGCTGCCTGCAGCCTCTGCAGCGCCGGTTCGGTCCCTGGCTGCTCCCCGGCCACCGGGTGAGGGTCCCACATGGCGCACAGACCTCTCCTGCCGCCCGCTGCTCCCCTCAGTAGTGTGCTTCGGTCCTTCTGCCTGCTCTGCTCCCCGCTCTGGCTCTGGTGAATTCTCTCACCCTCCCGTGCTTCTGACTGTACCCAGTGCTTGTATAAATAAATAAATAAATGTTTAAAAAAAAAAAAAAAAAGTCAACCAGGAAGAACTTCCCAGAGGGCACAATTGGAAGTCATAGAGGATGATGGCCAAATGAGTTCCTCCTAGAACAAAGTCAGGATCTAATTAAGGAACTACCCCAGCTCGACATATCTGAAGAGTAAAGAATTGGAACTGCTTGGGACCAGTGACTGTTGTACACCTTCCATTCTTTCTTTTTCTGAGTAGGAAGTTACCCTATTCATGTACTGAAGTTACCCTATTCATGTACTTCCATTGTATGTGGGTGTACCAATTTGGGGGTACCAATAACTTGGTACCAATAACTTGTGATGTAGCTCCTAAGAAACCATATCTGAAGCTGACTGAGACTTGGAGTTGAATAGAGTGACTAGAGGGGATGTGGCGTTACCTCTTTTGCTAACCTCTTTGCAGAAACAGAAACAGCAGAAACAGGCATTTGGTCTGAAAGAGAGATTGAGGCAGACTGTGATAGATACATGAATACATGTTCATTTCTTCCTAAACTCACAACCCAGACTTCACTTCCCACTAGGGTAGCCGGATTTGGCAAATAAAAACACAGGATGCCCAGCTAAATTTGAATTTCAGATAAACCCTGCATGAAACATGATTATACTGAAAAAACATTTATTTACCTGGAATTCAAATTTAACTAAGCATCCTGAATTTTATCTTCCCAAACTCCCTTGCAGTTTTACCATGTGACTGAAATGGTATCAAAGTATAAGTGGTGTGCATTTCTTCCAGGCCTGGGGCACTCTGAACATCTAGAGGAGGGCTGATTCACAAAATGGAAGAAGCCGGCATCCCAAGTGGCCAGTTAGGACCGGCATCTCTTCCCCTACAGCTGCACTAGGACAATGTAAACAAGAAACATTTATTATTAGGCCACTGAGTCTTGGGCATTGTTTGTTATAGCAGTTATCCTGTGCTGAGGGTGCCCCTCATCCTTAGATTCAAAAGCTTTTCTCATCTTTTTTTTAACCTTAATAGCATATGACCCTGTTAATCATCTTTCTTCTTAAAACTCTCTCTTTCTCTGATAATGTTTCTGGTCCTTTGATGATGATGATTTTAAAAATAATAAACTATCATTCCTGAAGTTCTTCCTATGTGCCAGGCTCGCTATTAGTGTTTCCTTTACTCTTCATAGCTCTGTGGTAAGTGCTATTGCCCCCATTTTAGAGATGAGAAAAGATTTAGAGATGTTGACTCACTTATCCAAGGTCTTAGAGGACTTCTCTTGACACTTTCCTTTTGACAATCCCATCCAGCATACTGGCTGCTGTAATTATCCTGCCTGCATGGGTCAGTCTCCTTGTCCCAAGTTCCACGTTTCCTGGCCAGTGGGGTGCTGATGGCACTGTAAACTCAACGTGCCCAAATCGCAGTTATTTTGTTCTTAGTACTGTTCTTTTTTTTTTTTTTTAAAGACTTATTTATTGATTGATACTAGCACTGGGTACAGTCAGAAGCGCGGGAGGGTGAGAGAATTCACCAGAGACAGAGTGGGGAACAGAACAGGCAGACTGACGAAGTACACTGCTGAGGGGAGCAGCAGGTATGGCAGGAGAGGTCTGCACACCATGTGGGACCCTCGCCAGCGGCTGGGGATTGAACCGGCACTGCAGAGGCTGTGCGCAGCCTCGCAGCCCAGCGTTCAACCGCTGCGCCACAGGGGAGGCCTTTTCTTCTTCTTCTTTTTTTTTTTTTTAAGATTTATTTATGGGCTGCCGCTGGTGGCGCAGGTGGTTGAGCGCCATGCTGTGAAGATGTCCGCAGCCTCTGCAGCGCTGGTTCGATCCCAGCCAGCCGGCGAGGGTCCCACATGGTGCGGCAGACCTCTCCTGTCTCGCCCGCTGCTCCCCTCAGCAGTGTATTTCTTCAGTCTGCCTGTTCTGTTCCCCACTCTGTCTCTGGTGAATTCTCTCACCCTCCTACACGTCTGGCCTGTACCCTGGTTCTTGTATAAATAAGTTAATCTTTAAAAAAATTTTTTAAAAAGATGTATTTATTTATGCATACAAGAGCTGGGGTAGAGGCCAGAGATGCGGGGGGCGAGGGGATTCACCAGAGACAGAGTGGGGAACAGAACAGGCAGATTGACTTAGAAGTACACTGCTGAGGGGAGCAGCTGGCGAGTCAGGAGAGGTCTGCTGTGCCATGTCGGTTGCTCCCTGGACAGCCGGGCATTGAACTCGTGCTGCAGAGGCTGCGGATTGCTTCATAGTGCAGTGCTTAACCTCTTGGGCCACCAGGGAGGCCCCCTTAGTACACTTTCATGTGGTAGCTCATCTAATTCCCACAACATCCATAAAAGACAATGTCACTATCTTATCTACAAGGTAGGCAGTGTCATCCACAGTTTACAGAAGAGTAAATAGGCTTAAAGGTTTGGTATCTGGCTCACATCTCCATAGCTTAGTACACAGTAAAGCTGGGCTTACGGGTCATTTAACGGTCTAGATCTCAATTGCCTACTTCCTACGCTCATTCTCTACCCTTACCTTTTAAATCCTACCTATCCTTCAAAGTCCAGTTCAAAGGCCATTTCGCTACAAAATCTTTTCAGGTCTTTCAAGCTGAGAGATCGCTACCGTGTGTAATTTTATAGAGCACTTACTTTGTATCTCACGTTTTCTGAAGTATACAAAACTTTAATTTATTCTCATCATCAAGAGGTTCAAGTAGAGATACAGAGCAAGAAATCTGAGTATCCCTTCACTCCCCAGAACTTATGACTTTCTGTTTTGATTAATGATTCTGTATCTCTGCTAGCAACTCTATCAGTCGAAGACAGGAGGCATAGCCGAGTCACCTTCAGTCCCCTAAAATAGGCATTAATAAACAACTGCTGAAAGAATCCATCATTTTCAAATCCCTGGAGCCTGTACATATTACACGTTTAGATGAAGGTAAGAGGGTCTGTTCAAGAAAAGTGATTTTTTTTTCTCCAGGGGTGACTGGTAAAGACATGTCAAACACTCCCTCCCCTCCCACCATCATTAAAGAACAAAAAAGCATCTACCTCTAGGTATATGAAGCGTCTGGTTTCTGTTTTAGCTGGGTCTCAGAAGGAAATGACTTTTCTCTGAAATTGTAGACGCCCAACCCAGCTGCAGCATTGTTAGACCTCAGGGTAAACAGGAAGCTTCCTGCCTTGGGCCCTTCATGTCCCTCTCCCAGACTATTAAAGGCTGATAATAGGATGGTAAAAGGACAGCTGCTGGCCATAAAAATCCAACTATCCCTTAGATCCTTAGAGAACAGCAACTAGATCCCACCAAGGTCAGAGAGAAAACAATCTTTCTGCAGGTCACAACAGGTGTGTCTACCTTGCAGAGATCCTGTTATTTTTTATGACCACTTGTAACTATAATGGTCTTTGTAGAATACCAGAGTGATTTAGTATTAGTTGATCCTTAGTACTGGAGAGAAGAAGGGATTCCCACTTAGAGGGTTTCTGGCCCTTGAAATCACGTTTTTCTGGGGGTGATGCGATCTACTGTGAAGGTTAAGCTGAGACTACCAGAGCAGTGAGATCACCCTGCCCCATAGAGTTTGAGTCACCTCTTTCTTTTTTATTTTTTTTAATTTTTTTTTTTAAAGAGGCACGTATTGTATTTATTTGTTTGTTTGTTTGTTTGTTTATACATGCACTGGGTACAGTCAGAAACGCGGAAGGGTGAGAGAATTCACCAGAGCCAGAGCGGGGAGCAGAGCAGGCAGAAGGACCGAAGTATACTGCTGAGGGGAGCAGCGGGCGGCAGGAGAGGTCTGCGCGCCATGTGGGACCCTCCTCCAGTGGCTGGGGAGCAGCTGGGGATCGAACCTGCGCAGCAGAGGCCGCGGGCAGCTTCGCAACCCAGCGCTCAACCACTGCGCCACCGGGGAGGCCCTGAGTCACCTCTTTCAATAGAGAAACAATTAGTCCTGACTATCCCCCCAAAAGAGGCAAAGACAAGAATCCACGAGGGCAAAAAATCTGGAGCTCCTGACTCAGCAATAAAGAGCTGGAACAGGACCTCAACACTTCCTGCACACAGAGTGGAAGGCCCTGGGTTTGCAGCTGTTGGTGAGGGAGGGAGGGAAGTTTCTGCCAATTGGAGGGACACTAGGGCAGGGGTGATCATCTTTTGCCAAGAAGGGCACTCGGATGTCTTGGCAGAAGGCAGAGGGCTGCCCCAATCTGTGTGTACATTTTCAGAAGCATTTGACTCTGGACCAAATTCTCTCAGCTGTGCTAAAGCTGGGGCGATGGCTGGGAAATGCTTATTGGCCAGGCTGACTAGAAGCTCCAACAGAGGGTGCTGGGGCTCAGCCAGCAGCTTCCCTTCAGCTGGCAAGTTTAGCTTTCTGTCATGGTCAGAGGGAGTGTATCAAAATTCCAATTCTCAGGGCTCTCTAGTAGCTGCTTATGGTTATCCACCTATTTTGAAGTTTTTGCTTGCTGGAATTTTTGGCTCAAATGGGGAATGAGTCGTAATGATGCAGCCTCTTACCTGGCTCAAAGAATGACCAAAAATAGCTCAGCACAATGACCTTACTACCATTGCAGGGATGAGTTCATAACCTAAGGGGGGCCAGGACGATAGCATTTCATTCAAGCTGGATTTACCTACAATATATCAACTCATGATGCCATGAATTCTCTGACACGGGTCTATCAGTCATGCACTGAAGACTAGCAAAGAAACGATTCAGTTGCCCGGCGCAGGTTTACTTGCTCAGGACATGCAGCCTTAATTGCGAAGTGTAATTGCTTTCTCTTATTCAGAAGAAAGGTGACTTAAGTTACCCCTCAGTTGCATTCAAGGGTAGTGAGAGAGTCTAAATGCTAAAACCAGAAGACCTGAATCTTTCCTCCTAACAGCACATGTTTAAGTCTACAAAAACTGTTTCAGCTGGGATGATTCCACTGTTTAAAGTAGATCTGAAGACGGGACCTTCCCGGTGGCGCAACGGTTGCGCGCTGGGTTGCGAAGCTGCCCGCAGCCTCTGCAGCGCCGGTTCGATCCCCGGCTGCTCCCCGGCCACCGAAGGAGGGCTCCACGTGTCGCGCAGACCTCTCCTGCTGCCCGCTGCTCCCCTCAGCAGTGTACTTCGGTCCTTCTGCCTGCTCTGCTCCCTGCTCTGGCTCTGGTGAATTCTCTTGCCCTGCTGCGCTTCTAACTGTACCCAGTGCTTGTACAAATAAATCTTTAGGGGGGAAAAAAAAAAAAGTAGGTCTGAAGAACTTAGAGCTGAAAGGACCTTTAAAAAGTTACATGGCTCACCACAATTATATCATCCCACTAGGGGTAGAAGGACAGTATCATTCCCCCTAGTTTCAGAAGAGCTACTAAAGATCTGAAAATGTTCCCAAGGTCACAGCTGGTAGGTGTGGTTTCACCCAGAGGTCTAGAATCCAGGACTCCAGCCTCCTTGCACAATGCTCTTCTTACTGTGCCATTTTTTTCCCCCAAAATAGTTTGTATTATTTTACAAAAGGAAATTCATTGATTGTATAACCAAAAGTTGTTTAATGTGCACATATAAGACTTTTATTTATTTTTTGGGTGGGACCCTCGCTGGTGGCCGGGGATCGAACTGGCAGTGCAGAGGCTGTGGGCAGCCTCGCAACCCAGTGCTCAACCACTGCACTACCAGGGGAGGCCCAAGACTTTTTTTTTAATGATTTATTTATACAAGCACTGGGTACAGTCAGAAGTGTGGTGTGTGGGGTGTGTGTGTGTGAAAGAATTCACCAGAGCCAGAGCGGGGAGCAGAACAGGCAGACTGATGAAGTACACTGCTGAGGGGAGCAGCGGGCACGGAGAGGTCTGCGCGCCATGTGGGACCCTCGCTGGTGGCCGGGGATTGAACCGGCGCTGCAGAGGCTGTGGGCAGCTTCACAGCGCAGCGCTCAACCACTTCGCCACTGGGGAGGCCCACACATATAAGAATTCTCATTTAAATGAACAAATCATTAAAAAAAATCATCATAAACAATATCCCATTTAGAAAAGATGATCTAATCTCACTTATTACCTCTGCTACACTATGCAGGCCTCCACCCCACATTCAGACTACTCCAATTAGGGCCTTCGATAAAATTTACATTCCTTTTTTTTTTTTAAAGATTTATTCATTTATACATACAAGAGCTGGGGTACAGGCCAGAGATGCGGGGATGGGGGTGGTGAGAGGATTCACCAGAGTGGGGAATAGAACAGGCAGACTGACTGAAATACACTGCTGGGTGTAGCAGCAGGCGAGGCAGGAGAGGTCTGCTGCACCATTTGGGTTGCTCCCTGGCCGGCTAGGGATCGAATTCGTGCTGCAGAGGCTGCAGATTGCTTCATAGTTCAATGCTTAACCCCTTGTGCCACCAGGGAGGCCCGAGATAAAATTTACATTTCAATAATTTATATTTAATTTTACATGTGGTTCAGTGGCAAGTATAAGAGTATCTTTACTGGGCCTCCCTGGTGGCGCAGAGGTTGAGCGCTGGGTTGCGAGGCTGCCCGGAGCCTCTGCAGCACCCGTTCGATCCCCAGCCACCGGTTGAGGGTCCCATATGGCATGCAGACCTCTCCTGCCGCCCACTGCTCCCCTCAGCAGTGTATCGTCAGTCTGCCTCTTCTGTTTCCTGCTCTGGTGAATTCTCTCACCCTCCGGCACTTCTGACTGTACCCAGTGCTTGTAAAAATAAATAAATCTTTAAAAAAAAAAAAAAAAAGAGTATCTTTACTATGCTTGTTTGACAAGACAGATCCAGGTGTACTTCAGACTTGAAATACGATTTCTTCTCTTGCAAAGAATAGTTACTACTCTAAAATTTGCCATAGCCAGCACCAGAAAGGGCTCTCTAGTGAGTCACACTTCTCCCATTCCTAACCCATCTTTAAAAAAAGAGAGAAAGAGAATGCACATGAGAGAAAGGGGGTGCTTCTAATGGACAGAGAAGGGATAGCAGGGCAGGGCAGTGCAGGTAGAGCCAATATGTGTTTGTACTTTCAGACCCTGGGTTAAGGCTGCTTCAGTCTGTCCCCTGAGACTCCAGGTCATGTCCAAGGCAGGAAGTTGCAATGCAGGAGTAGTCCCAGGAGCCAGTAAGTCAGGAAGTAGCCTAGAATGCATTGTGTGATTGGAGAACAGGTTTTCCAGTTGTACAAAAGTCCCATGATAGAATTTCTGGGGACCTTTTGTCCTGGTGGGGAGTCCCCTGCAAGAGGCTTCCCAGGCATAGTCTCTAGGGACCTTAGCAGCGGCTCTTGATCCTGAAGCAAGTGAGCTGGAAACCAGTACACAACAGGCGTGGAGGAGCCCAAAAACCTGGTGAGAACCTGGAGATCATAAGAGAGGGAAAACCCACACAATTATTGGACTCTTACTGCCTCAAACTGGACTAGCCTGGCAGTTCAAGGATTAGTGGGGTAAACTACAGTCCCATGACTAGAAATGTACTATATAGGGAAAGAAATTCAATAGACCTTAGGATTTGCCTTACAAAGCTGTGCATGACACCAGCCAAGTGACTTCAATATTATGGTAAATATAGGTACAGACTCATTGCCACAAAAGGGGCAAATCAATACTAGAAACTCTATACGGTCTGATTTTAGCCCAGGGCCTGGACTCTGAACTCTCAGCCATGACATGGGCTTTGGGAACTTGAGCTGATTCCTCCATTCCGTAAGGATGGTAAAGCAGAGGGAAAAGGGTAGGGAAACAATCTTCCTCCTATGGTATTCACAGTCAGTCTCCAAACAGCCTCCCTCTCCCCCTCATCTAACCTGGAAACTCTAAGCTTTGCTGGCACTCACTCTAGGGGCTAATCCAGCTACAAACACAGAATGCTACTTTCAATTTCCTCTGTGCCTCTTATTCACACAGCTCAGAGAGGTTTACAACAGCAATGTGCGCCTCCAAGACGCAGAAACTGCTAAGGAGTGGCCAGCAAGGGGACAAAAAGCCTTCCTTGGGGTTATGTTGGAACTGGGACTAGAGCCAAGAAAAAGAATTGAATGTACAATCAAGCCCTTCCTCCAGCCCTCTCTAGCCACCCCCAGCACCCAAACATTGCACAAGACATGTCCACTGAAAACTGAGCACCTGCCAGAGTTCAGAGTACCTTCAAAAGTCAACACGCAAGTAGACATTCTGGGTATAACTGTGTATTATGGGAAGGTCCAGGGATATTCTCTGCGTTTGTTCCTATATGGCAGTCAGATCAGGTCCTTGTGCAACTCTCTTTGCACATGTCTTCCCATCTGCCCAGAATGTTCTTTCCTAGCTTCTTAAATGGAATTCTTTCTTACTCTTCTAGCCCCACCGTGTGATGCTTCGCCCTTAACTCCTTCAGTCAGTCAGTGCCTTTTCCCTCTGTGCTTCCATGATAATTTATCTCAAACAGCAACCCCTCCTCCAACCCACTGTAGTGTCTGTTTATCTGTTAAAGGTCTGTCTCCCCATTTCTACCATGAGACCCACTAGGGCAGAAATCATACATTACTCACGTTCCATCCTCAGGGGTCTCACCCAGAGTCTGGCGAAAGAATGCCCCCAAATAAGTGCTGAATTAATAAGTTAGCTACAGGTCACTCAACTGGGAAGTCAATTGTCTTCTTTGTCCTTGGCCAAAGGGTTTGCCTATATTCACACCCTTACCCAGCCAGGAGGCACCTCACCTGAACATGCATGCACAGACCACCAAACAGCAACAGCGCTACAGCGTGGACCAGGTACACAAACACCCGAGGACTGAGGAATCCAGGCTCAGGCTTCTCTAGAGTCTTATTGATCTTGTTCCTTCGCATCCCGAGTGTAAGGCAGAGCCAAGGGTGGGTGGTCACATATGTCCAAGTTGCCCAGGCAACCAGCACAGTCACTGGGGCAGCCAGTAGAAAATTGGGCACCTGCTTGAGCTCATAGTATCTCAAAAAGCCAACATTCCAGTAGATGTCCTGGACGTAGCTGTAGATGATGGGGAGCTCCCAGGAGCACCAAGGCGGCACATTTCCGTCAGCGATCCGGTAGCTCCTGTTCACAGCTAACTGCAGGAAGGGCTCGGGGATGGGGCGAGCTGAGCCCGGCAGACAGAACTGGGAATAGGCATAATACTGAAAGAGGGCAAAGGGAAGGCCAAGTGTGAGCACTGACAGTAACACAGAGCCCAGCAGCCTCAAGAGGCTTCTCAGAGGATTCAGCACCATGAGAGAAGAGAAAAAGCTTCGGCACTGAGCATACACGAGGAAGCCAGTGTTGACAAGACCGTTGGAGCGCACGCCGGTGGCGAGGGCAAAGAGGAGTCCGCTTGTCCGGCTTCGGCCCCTTTCCAGCTGCCCCATGGCGCTGAATGTCAGGAGGGCAAACAAAGCTTCTGAGTAACCCGCCGCCAGGAAGACATTGGCGGGGCTGAGGCAGAAGAGCAACGCTCCATAAAAGGCCTGGCGGGGACAGTGCAAAACCAGACGGCCCAGGTCATGAAGTGCAACTGCAGCCAGCACGGAGAACAAGGAATTGAGGGATGCTACTGAGATTAACAGGCAACTCCGTAGGCTCAGCAACCCCTTCAGGGGTCGCAACAGTTCAGTTCCTGCCAACAGGACTAGAGGGAAGCCAGGGAAGAAGGCAAAGTTGTGCTCATACAGGTAGCCGTGCTCAGCAATGAACAGAAAGTGTTCAGCATCCCAGTGAGACAGGCCACCCAGAAGACCTTCCACAATTTGGTCCACAGAGCCTGAGGGGGCGAGGCGAGGAGGAGTGAAGGCATCTGCACTGTGATCTGGGATGATGGCATTGAAGAAAGCCTGTGGGATGAAGGAGAACTAGGATTTTGGTCGAGCAACTAGAAGAAAAGAATTACCACTTAGTAAAATGAGGAAGAACAGACTTGTTGGGGGGGAATCAGGAGTTCACTTTTGGACTAGCTTAGTTTGAGCTTTATATTCTGGTCATAAGTCAACTAAGCAGTGCAATATGCAAGTCTGTGCAGGAGAACAAGCAGTGCATGGATGGTATTTAAAGGCGTGAGACTGAATGAGATCATCGAGGGAGGAAGTGCATCTTGAGAAAAGCAGAGATTGGAGGGCTGGGTACTGGACAGGTCAACATTCCAAGGCTTGAGAGAGGGTGAGAATCCAGCAATGAAGATAAAAAGGAACAGTCAGGGAGAGGAAAACCAGGAGAGAACATTATCTGAGAGGCAAGAAAGGAAGTGATCAACTAACTGTCAAATGCTGCTGATGGGTCAAGTAAGATGGGACTGAAAACTGACCACTGCGTTTAGCCATGTGACGGTCATGGTGACTGTGACAAGAACTAGTCCAGCAGAGCAGAGGAGCAAGAAGTCTCCCCAGACTGGATTTAGCAGACAAGGGGAGAAAAGAGACAATGCATACAGACAATAATTTGGATGGGTTGTACTGTAACGAGGAGCATGGAAATAAGGTGAATGATAATGTGGGGTGAGCAGAAATCTTGTTTTATTTTTCAGGTGAGAGATAAATGTTTGTTTGCCCACATGTATAATCAGTGGTAGAATGGAAGTCACTGAACATGCAGAGATAGGGGAGAATTGCTGGAGCAGATCAAAGATGACAGAATTGCTACTCAACTGGAGGAGTTCATCTCCAAGAGGACAGAATACCTTCAGCAGTGAAGGCACAGAGGTGCAGATATAGGTAGCTGATGGATGTGGTGGGAGCATATACAAGGTCGTTTCTGATTGCTTTTATTTTTCTGAGTTTTCACTCAGAAAAGGAAGTTGGGGAAGAGGTGTTAGAGAGCCAAGAGGAAAACTAAGTCACTGAGAGGTAAACTAAATCATCCATTACCCCAGTTCTCAAAATAGGCTGTGCACTGGAATTATCCAGGGATGATTTAACTGGGAATGCAGGAGGGGTAGACACTGAGGTCTTGGTTTTTTTTAAGCTCCCCCATGTGATTTTGAGGTGCAGAAAATTTTGAGAGAATGGGACAGTGAATGGGTTAAGGAAATACACTAAGACTGCCAGGTAACACAAAAGACTTACTAGTGATCTTGAATAAACAAAGATGACTAGTATAGTTGTGTGTTTTTCTCTGGACAGATACAGGCATGGAGTAGGCAGAGAACTGAATTTTTTTTTTTAAGATTTATTTTTATTTATACAAGAGCTGGGGTACAGGCCAGAGTCACGGGAGGGTGAGAGTATTCACCAAAGACAGAGTGGGGAGCAGAACAGGCAGACGGACTGAAAGCATTGCTGAGGTGAGCAGTGGGCGAGACAGGAGAGGTCTGCCTTGCCATGTGAGGATCTCCCTGGCTGGCCGGGAATCGATCGGTGCTGTGGAGGTTGTGGACAGCTTCACAGCGCTGCGCTCAACCCGCTGCACTACCGGGGAGGCCCAGAGAACTGAATTTTTTTCCCCCAAAAGATTTATTTATTTATTTATTTATGCAAACGCTGGGTACAGTCAGAAGCACGGGAGGGTGAGAGAATTCACCAGAGCCAAAGCAAGGAACAGAACAGGCAGACTGACAAAGTACACTGCTGAGGGGAGCAGCGGGCATGGCAGGATAGGTCTGCGCACCATGTGGGACCCTCGCCAGCGGCCGGGGTTCGAACTGGCACTGAAGAGGCTGCGGGCAGCTTCGTAGCCCAGCACTCAACTGCTGTGCCACCGGGGAGGCCCCCAGAGAACTGAATGTAACCAAAGTTAGGCTTGGGAGAAAGAAGCGAATTTTGTTATGTGTGGTGGACCATGGAATCTAAGTTGGGTAATAAGGGGAACTAAAGACATGAGGAGGGTGAGGGACAGTGAAATGGTGGTAGAATCAATGAACTACAAGTCCTGAGGGGTAGAAGAATCCTTAGAGCTGGGATACCAAAGAGAGTGAACAGGAAAGACAGGAGACAGTGGTTAGATGTTATCATCTTTATTAATACTGAAACTACGAAGGTACCAAAGGTAGTGCTGGAAAGAGTGACAGTTTATCAGAAGCAACTTTCAGGAATGAAAAGGAATGAGCTGCCATTAACAGAGAGGACAGCAGCAATGAAGAATAATTGGGGATATAACTGATAGCATAAGTTTTAAGGGTGGAAGAGGAAGGTAAAAAGGAAGAGACAGGGGCCTCCCTATTGGCACAGGGGTTAAAGTCTCAGCCCTATCAAACTATCACCAGCCACTGCGGCATGAGTTCAATCCCCAGCCAGAGAGCTAAGCTACAAGGTGGAGTAGAACTCTCCTGTCTCACTCACTGCTCCCCTCAGCAGTGTATTTCAGTAAATCTGCCTGTTCTGCTCCCCACTCTGTTTCCGGTGAATCCTCTCACCCCTTGCACCTTTGGCCTCTATAGTTCTTCTATTCATAAATTAATTAAATACAAAATAAATAAATTGGGGGGCATCCCTGGTAGCACAGGGGTTAAAGACAGCGCTATCAAGCTATCACCAACCACTGTAGCATGCATTCAATCCTCAGCCCCCAGTCCTCCAGGGAGGGAGCAACCCAAATGGCGCAGCAGACCTCTTCTCTCAACCGCTGTTCCTCTCAGCTGTGTATTTCACTAGATCTTCCTGTTCTGCTCCCCACTATGTCTCTGGTGAATTCTCTCACCCCCCCACACCTCTGGCCTATACCCCAGTTCTTGTATGTGTAAACAGAGGAATCCTTAAAAAAATAAATTGATTGGCTGATTGAAAAAAATACATATCAAGGGTAGCCTTGGGGGGAAAGGGAGTTGCAAAAGGCCAAATGCATCCTGAGGGTTGTCTATGGGTGAGCAACAAAGGGAGGCACCTGGGGGAAGGGCTGGGGGAAGCTGACTAAGCATACAGTTTTAGGACAGTGCTACCTCTTCCCCATTCAACTGACTCATAAAGTACTCAGCCACCTGGTAGGATGACCCAGGGCAATGTTTTCAGCTGTCACACCTTGAAACATCTCTGGCTACAAAATATCATGGTCTGTTGGAAAGACCACTAGTTCAGAAGTTAAGGAACCTGGGTCTGATTCTGTCCCTCTGTTATTTGCTATGTGACTTTAGGGAATCCATTTAACCTTTCTGGTTCTCTGTTGCCTCTTGTGTAAAAATAAGGGATTCAGTTTAGAAGGAATTAAAGGCCATTTCTAAGAGTTCTGCCCACATTTCAGCTAAAAAGTCACAGCTTTATGATTCCAACCACAAGTACGGCACAGCTGGAAGTGGAAAGGAGATGGGGCTATTCTCTAGCCCCATCACATGGAAACTGCATGTTCAGGACAAAAGATCAGAGACTGACCTGCAGCACCAAAGTCAGGACACGGCAGCTGACCGCAAACCTCAGCACCTCTTTCTGGAATGGGTCCAAGGGCCACATCCTCCCATCACCAGGAATTCAGGAGTGTTGCTGCCAGGACTGGTTCCCTCAGGCTTCTAAATACCAAAACACAAGAAGGAAATATCACACATGGGCTGAAAATAAATTTTTGAAAGCATTCTTTTTTTTTTTTTTTTTTTTAAACTTTTTTTTTTTTTTTAATTTGTTTGTTTGTTCGTTCGTTTTGTTTATACATGCACTGGGTACAGTCAGAAGCGCGGGAGGGTGAGAGAATTCACCAGAGCCAGAGCGGGGAGCAGAGCAGGCAGAAAGACCGAAGCACACTGCTGAGGGGAGCAGCGGGCGGCAGGAGAGGTCTGCGCACCATGTGGGACCCTCCTTCGGTGGCCGGGGAGCAGCCAGGGATCGAACCGGCGCCGCAGAGGTCGCCGGCAGCCTTGAAAGCATTCTTTACGGAGACTATCTTCAGTATTACCAAGGCAAAGCGAACCACCTAACTTCCCAGATGAAGGAAAAGCATCTGGAAGACAGATGGGACCACTTAGCGTCAGCCTCAAGCACCGTGTTCTTGTGAGAAAAGTTCCACACTAACAGGTATAAAGCAGAAAGCTATGTTTGCAGGAAATCTTTAAAAGCCTGTTGCATGGGCCTCCCCGGTGGTGCAGAGGCTGAGCGCTGGGTTGCAAAGCTGCCCGCAGCTTCGGCAGCGCCGGTTCCATCCCTGGCTGCTCCCCGGCCACCGGAGGAGGGTCCCGCATGGCGCGCAGACCTCTCCTGCCGCCCGCTGCTCCCCTCAGCGGTGTACTTCGGTCCTTCTGCCTGCTCTGCTCCCCGCTCTGGCTCTGGTGGATTTTCTCACCCTCCCGCGCTTCTGGCTGTGCCCAGTGCTTGTATAAATAATAAATAAATAAATCTTAAAAAAAGAAAAAAAAGCCTGTTGCATGTAAGTCCTGGGTTCAAGTTCTGACTTTGTCATTCACAAGTTCTCATTTAGCCCTTCTGAGCCTCAATTCTTAATGGATAAAACGGGAACATAGTATCCCATAAAACTGTCATGACAGTGAAAGGGAGGAAAGTGGCAAGTACTACTGACTCATACTGTGGTTGCTATTATTTGGTGTGCGTTCTTTTACTCTTGCCCAGAATAATAAACTAGGTCCCAAACCAGAGTCCCTAAAGTGGGGCACAGGACTGAACTCGAAGACCACACTGTCTGTACCCTCCAGCTTAGCCCTCTGATGTGTGCTCAGCTGGTCTGTTAAATTAAGCAAAGAAGGAAAACCACCACTCAGCAGGACTTCAGCCAGGGGGGAAGACAGAGTTGACTACTAGGGATGAAGAACTGTCATTTCCCATGTCTTTATTGGAATGACAGCAATGTATAAACAATTTCAAGGCCATTCTGAGGCAAGGAATGCACTTTAAGGCTTTTTTTTTTTTTTTTTTTTTTTAAACAATTCCTTGGACTAAGGAGCCGTGACTCCCAATCATGTTAGAATGTTCGAACACTAGTAGTCTGAAAAATCTGAAGGGAGGGCAGGGCAAGAGCATCAGAGACAGCTCATCAATTTGGGGTAAAGAACTATTCTTAAAGGAAAAGTATTTTTTTTTTTTAGGTTTAGATATTTTATTTTATTTTATTTATTTTTTTTTAAAAGATTTTTTTTTTATAGAGGCATGTTTTATTTATTTATTTGTTTGTTTGTTTGTTTTTTGTTTATACATGCACTGGGTACAGTCAGAAGTGCGGAAGGGTGAGAGAATTCACCAGAGCCAGAGCGGGGAGCAGAGCAGGCAGAAGGACCGAAGTACACTGCTGAGGGGAGCAGTGGGCCGCAGGAGAGGTCTGCGCGCCATGTGGGACCCTCCTCCGGTGGCCGGGGAGCAGCCGGGGATTGAACCGGCGCTGCAGAGGCTGTGGGCAGCTTCGCAACCCAGCACTCAACCGCTGCGCCACCGGGGAGGCCCTTTTATTTTATTTTTTAAGATTTATTTATTTATTTATACAAGCACTGGGCACAGTCAGAAGTGGAGGAAGATTAGAGAACTCACCAGAGCCAGAGCGAGGAACAGAACAGGCAGACTGACTGAAATACACTGCTGAGGGGAGCAGTGGGCGCTGGCAGGAGAGGTCTGCGCGCCATGTGGGACCCTCGCCTGGTGGCCAGGGATAGAACCTGCTCTGCAGTCTGCCGGCAGCTTCGCAGCCCAGCGCTCAACCGCTGCGCCACCAGGGAAGCCCAAGGAAAAGCATTTAAGGTGAGAAATTAACAAGGAAGATTGGTAGACTTCTTATTTGACTAATATGTTTAGCTCTCATTTCTGGAATTTTCCTCTGCTCCTCACTAGACTATGTTATATCCTCTCATTGCACCGAAGCCTTGTCGTCTTTATTGCTACTGCTTATTTAAGTTGTTTGTGGGGGCAGAATCAATCTTCTCCCAACGATATCCCCACGGTCTACCATACAAACAGGCATTTTAAGCCAGTGTTCTGACTGAGTGGATGTAAGAACAGGATGTGGCATCACTAGTTCATTGATTCTGGATACAAAATCCGTGCCCAAAGTGTTCCTCTCACTATATCTCATGTTAAGAAAAGAGGACAAAGTCATTGAAGCCACAAGGAAATAAAATTTCTCGGGAAAGGGAGCAAGATTGGTCAATAGCAACAGTACTTTTTCCTCAGCACAAGGGGGCGACTGCTGCTTACCCATCACCAGGAGGCCTGGAGGAAGGGAGGGGCCACCAACGCCACACTGGTTTGCTCATCAAAATTCAGTTCAAAGGCGAGCTTCAGAAAGCCCCAGAGAGCAGCGGGAGTTTGTGAATCCACCCAACATTTCCAACATCTGACTCCCAGAATCCAGAGGAAGCCTAGAAAGAAGCACAGCCGACCTCACACAGCTGCTCCTTCTCTTTCTATCCTAGGGTGAATTCACTCTTTTCCTGCTTTGCCTTCCCGCCCACATGCAGAAGAAAACTTGGTAACAAAAAGCACTTAACCCACCTCTGCCTCTTCACCAGGCTTCCGTTCTTCCTTTCCTCTCTCCAAAGTCAAATTCTAGCCTCCGCGACCACAGGAGACTTGTAGCCTACACTTTACCGTTCAGGTAAACCAAGTAAAAACAAAAGAAAGCCAGTGAGTTCTCCCTCTCAGCTAATTGCCACCCTCATTTCCCAACAAGCTCTTTGCGAAATCAGACTCTCTGAACTGGCAGGACACTTACAGAGCAACTAGTCTTACTCTGATTTCCCGTGAGATAAATATGCCCCAGAGAGGTGAGTAATAAAAATCTCCATAGAGATCTCATTATTAGACTCTGTACGGCCAGTATAATTACCATCGCCATTTTATGGATGTGGTGTGGAAACTGAGGCTCACCAGGGTCGAGTGACACACCCAAAGTTGTACTTAGAGAGGTGGTATTTTTGCTTCTGCACCCTCCTGGTCTTCCCCCTAGACCTCACCCGGGCCAAAGGGGACGCACTCAGCCAGGACGCGCCTCCCAGATCCCAACTCTCAAGTCCACTCCTTGCCCAGGGATAGCGCATGCTCTTGCTGGGTATGCTTAGGGCGGGGAAGGCCCTATCTGAGAATTTAGGGAAGCCTGTTGAACTGGAGCCCTGAACTCTCTGGTTGAGGCGAACATGCTCGTGGGGTGGGCAAGTCGTTGGGACCCAGAATCCTCAGAGTCAGAGGCCTCGCTGGCCGTCAGGGGCCGCGCTCCGCCAGCCCACGCGGGCCTGAAGACCTCTATAGGTCGCTTCTTTCGGATCGGGCCCCTCTCCCCAAAGGGGCCACAGCCCAGAGACCACCCCTGAGAGGGGCCGGAGGTGCCCGAGGCCGGAAGGCAGGGGAGGGCGGGAGGCGGTAAAGGAAGAGGCGGCACCCAGAGGCCGCTATGGCGGAGGGGCGGGGCTTCTCGCTCCTCCGCAGCCTCCACTTCATCTTCCGTAGCCTCCGTTTGACAACTTCCCTCCCCACCCCGAGCGCCAGGTTCCCGAGTTAGCGCCGCGTCCCCACCACCGGCCCATCTCGACCACTCAAGTGGTGTCCGAACCTCAATTCCTCCATCCGGGGCCCCGAGCGGCCCGCGCCTGCGCACTGGCTCCGCCGACGGCGGCCCCGCCCCGCTCCTGCCCGGACTCGGAGCTGCCCCGCCCCCTCCGCGACGGCCATGTTGACTCTGGAAGAGCTGGGCGAGGACGGTGTAGCCCCAGGACTCGGTGCCCCTCCGCGGTGGCCCCTGCCCGTCCGGCTGACAACTGAACAGTTCACGCTTCTCTGTCCCCCTCCCCCGCTTTCAGCTGGTCCGCCGGGGCGGCCGTTCCAGAGTCGGTGCTGTTGCCCCAGTTCCATCCCGCAAACATCCACTGAGTTCCCGAGGTGCTCTGAGGCTCTCGCGGTTGTGGGCTGCCCCGCGGCCTCTTCATAGAAGCCAGAGCCGCACTTTCCTAGCTGTCACGCAACAGCAGCTCTGCACAGGGCCCAGCACACAACAGATGTTCTCTAAATAGAAAGAAAAGCCTTGGGGTTTCTGTGGCCAGCAGTGGCACCCTGCGTCGCGGGTGTGAAGAAAGTGGGGGATCCCCCTGACTTTCCCCTTCTCCAGCTCCAGGGATCGTCTCTCCTATTTCAAAAAAAACCTCGGCCCCACTTCAGATGGCTAATGAGAAGGGTGAAAGAAACTTCAGAGAACACTCCCCCCCAGGTCTCCTTCCTCATTCAAGTAGTTTCTCTCCTAGGAAGTGAGGCCAAAAAAGAAGAAGAGAACCTTAACTCAACAAAACCGTCTGTTAGGGAGGGGCAGCCAGTTGGTACCCCTGTAACGGAAACTGTTAGAACAACTTTGCACCCTCCTTAAAGGAAACAGATAATAAATCCTTCTCCGTTGGTGGATTTCTTGTTTCTCAGGATTCCAAAGCCTTCTGTGGTTTCAGTTATCTGCCCTGCAAACGAAGCAGGGGTCTGGGTTAGCCTCTGGCCACAGCCCTGGCTGAGGGAGGGGCTTATCTTCTGCAACAGCTACTAATGTGGGTGGGAACAAAGAGAGGTTGCTATCTTTCCAAGCAAAGAAAACCAGCCCACATCAGTTGGGGGCTGGGGCTGAGGATGGGGGGTGGGCAGGGAGGGTATCTTCCTGATTCTTTATAACTCCTTTAGTCCCAGAGACCTAAACTGCCCTCAGGTATTTGTTGTGTGTAAAAGGTGGATAAAGTTTAAATCACATTTCAGTTGTGTGTTGGAGAAGGGAAAAAAATGGAGTGTGGAATGACTCTACCTCCAGGTTTTTCAGCGACACACACTTGTTCTCAACTCCAGAGGCCTGTGAATGAATGGGCAAAGCTGTGGGCACACTTGGGACTGGGGCCGAGGTTATGGCTTGAATCTCTAGAAGTCTGTGAGGCTCTAAGTTGTTCTCTGCAAAGACAAAACTGAGAAATGAACTGTTCTTGCTTTGTGAATTCTCAAGGAAAACACACATGCATTCTTAAGATTCCCTATCCATACTAAAGTCCCCCTAAAATCTACTTGTAGAAAGGACAGGGGACTCCTATGATGAGTCAGAATGTTTTTTAAAAGCTCAACTGTCACCCTTTCAAGGGAGAACTTTGAACAGGTCTTCAGCTTTACTTTCCTGCAATTTCTCCTTCCTTTCCTTCTCTGCAATCCCCCACCCCCTTTGGCACTGTTTCCTGTTTCATTTTCTGGCTTCTGCTCCGTCAGGAAAACAAGGAAGCTGAATCTTGTTCTCTGAAAGCCCTGGCTTGTCAGAATAGAAGAAGACTAAGTGGGATGGAAGGGAGTTCTGGGCCTCCAATGCTGTGAGTAAGTCGTGGAGGAGGCAGCGCTCTCTAGGCTGTTTTCAGAGTCTGCAGCTAAAATGGAGCCTGCGTCTACACAGGGAGCCAGCGGAGCGACCAGCACTGTGGGAGAGTCAGGGAGACAGAGCTGTAACCCAGAACACCAGTAAGACTCTCCTCTTCCCAGCCACTTTCGTTTAGAAGCAAATATCCCGAACCACCAAGAAACAATATAAATCCCTGAACTAAACAATTCAAGCAAGCATCACTTTCTACAATTCTAGAATGTAAGAGAGTACAGCATTTCTTTCTTGAATTTGCCTGGCTCTGCTCTTGTTCCTGTTTGAAACACGTTGCTGCCAGCCTCCTCTTTGGCCAGCCCATTATATTCAGGTCTCAGCGGAAGCATCACCTGTTCTGAGAGGCTCTCCCTGATCACTCTTATCACCAGGCTGCCCTGCTGCCCTGTTTTTTTTTTTTCTTTTTCTTTTTCTTTTTCTGTTTGTTTGGTGCTTGTGTTGTTTGCAGTGGGTGAGACAGGTCTGAGGTGCCATATGTGGGTTAGTTTACTGCCTGGGGATTGAACTCAGGCTGTCCTGGTATAGTGCTGAGACTTAACCCCTAGGCCACCAGGAAGGCCCTATTCCCTGTTCTATTTTATTCAGAGCACTTATCACCACCTGGTTGCCCTGTTAAGAATTTTAGTCGGGGGGGCCTCCCCTGGTGGCACAGCGGTTGAGCCCTGGGCTCCAAAGCTGCCTGCAGCCTCTGCAGCGCCGGCTAGATCCCAGCCAACCTGTGAGGGTCCCACATGGCGCGCAGATCTCTCCTGCTGCCCGCTGCTCCCCTCAGCAGTGTATTTCTTCATCAGTCTGCCTGTTCTGTTCCCCGCTCTGGCTCTGGTGAATTCTCTCACCCTCTAGCGCTTCTGACTGTACCCAGTGCTTGCATAAATAAATAAATAAATCTTTAAAAAAAAAAAATTGATACCTATATTTTATGGATGTGGGAACAGGTTCAAAAAGAGGAAGAGGGCCTCCCTATTGGTGCAAAGGGTTAGGTTGCAGTGCTATTAAGCAATCTACAGCCACTGCAGCACAAGTTTGATCCCCAACCAGGGTGCTGACCCACACGGCGCAGCAGACCTCTCTTGTCTCACTGCTGCTCCCCTCAGCAGTGTGTTTCAGTCGATCTGCCTGTTCTGTTTCCCACTCTGTCTCTGGTGAATCCTCTCACCCTATACACCTCTGGTATGTACCCCAGTTCTTGTATGCATAAATATATAAGTCTTTTTTAAAAAAAACCTCGATGACTATTTGAAAAAAAAAAAAAAGGAAAGAAAGGGGAAGAGACTGGCCAGGTGACACTGCTAGTGGCAGAGGTGGGGCTTGAATTCAGGTCTCCAGTCTCCCAGACTGGATTTTCCTACCACTCTGTACTATTTTAAGCTTTCTTAGACTTACCTCTTTCTCTCTCCTTTTTTCCACAATTCAGAGTCTTTATGTTAATTTTATGCTGCGAATTAACAGCACCTACCTACATTTCCTCCACTAAATTCTTCTCTTGGGCCTTCCTGGTGTTGCAGGGGTTAAAGACAGTGAGTGCTTTCAAGCTATTGCCAACTGCTGCAGCAAGAGTTGGACTGGCCGGCCAGGGAGCTGCCCACATGGTGCAGCAGACCTCTCCTGACTCGCCAGCTGCTCCCCTCAGCAGTGTATTTCAGTCGATCTGCCTGTTCTGCTCCCCACTCTGTCTCTGGTGATTCCTCTCATCCCCTACACCTCTGGCCCACACCCCAGTTCTTGTATGCATAAATAAATATTAAAAAAAAATAATTTTTTCTCTTACCTGTTGGAGTTATTGAACAATATAGGAGTACCTTCTACATGGCAGGATGAAGCTGTGACATTGAGCAAGACATAGCCCCTGTTCTCATAATGATAATCATAATATCTACCTCATGAATTTTATAGTACTTGGCATCAAGTCCTCAAGAATGAGGGTTGTTGTAACTCCCTGAACAAAAATAGGAATAGGTGATTTTTCCACTGAGGTTGTGGAGAAGCAAGTGTGGTAGTTTGCATGGAGCAGTCACCTCTCTGGAGAAATCTGACAACTCATTTCTCTTCTCCAGCTGCCTTGCCTTGCTCCTGTCACCACATCTGCAGATGACCATGGCCCCAACCTGGGGAGAGGAAGAGCCCAGTTATCTATTCTCGGTAGCTCCGTTTCCAGACACTGAACTATCTATGGCCTCAATCCTATGAGAATGGAGTAGGCGACCCTGTCAAGTGGCATTGACTTCAAGGCCACACCGTTATAGGACAAACATGACCCCACAGGTTTCTGATTCTGTTCCTGCCAACCATTAGTAGGCAGGGCTAATACCTGTGATAACAAACAGCACAAAACCCCAATTTTATGCTACTTCTTTCCCCTGTGGCTAAAAAGGCATTTATTGGCAGTTTCCAAGGCTGCTGGGTGACATCTTCATACATCTTCACACTTGGGGTGGCACCTGCCTTATTTTTTAAAGATGCCCATCAACCCCAGTGCAAAGGCCCTACTGGGTCTCCCACTTAAAGGAGCCAATCACTGATCCTTTAAAGCCCATGGACACTAGATATTTTTTACCCTTCCTTTGGTGTTTGCCTTTTAGTAGTTAGAAAACCTTGACCCTACTGAAGCATAGTGGGAAAGGCCTCAGCTACTTGGGGGTGGCAGTGGCTATAAGGCAAGAGAGCCAATGAGGCTGAGAGTATTGTTTAGGCCGGACTTGGCTGCTCTCCAGCTATGAAAGAAGGTTAAGGTCATTTGGGGGGTGGGGAGGGAGGAGCCTGGGAAAAGAACTACTAGCCACACCCCTGGGTTCTCTACTGGAGAGGTTCTATTTACTTCTCAAAAGCAAATTACTGGGCCTCCCCGGTGGCGCAGCGGTTGAGCGCTGGGTTGCGAAGCTGCCCGCAGCCTCCGCGGCGCCGGTTCGATCCCCGGCTGCTCCCAGGCCACCGGAGGAGGGTTCCACATGGCGCGCAGACCTCTCCTGCCGCCCGCTGCTCCCCTCAGC